AAAGAGATGTACTATAACAAAGAGCAGCAGGGTTTTGTGCGGGAGGAGGCCAAAGGCAGTGGGATCACGTACCAAGGCCTCAGGCTGGACATCAAGGCCACCATGTCGCCACTGGGCAGGGCCATTATGAAGGTGGAAGTGTGGGACAAAGTCTTCTCTCTCCCCGTGTAGCACCAGGACTGGTGATGCAGTGTTTGTCACAGGAATCCAGTTTGACTCACCAGTGCATAGTGTCAGATATGTTTAACCCTTTGTACACTTGTGCTCTCGTACCATGTGTTCCTGCAATAAAACCTTAACAAGTCTGATGCGACAAATTGTGTCTCAGTGATCATTATAACATAAAACTTGTCTTGGCAAAGCTTTGAAACAGTCGAGACCAACTCGTGGAGCGAGTTCATGTTTGTCTAAGGGAGTCTGCAATTTATATATTTATTCTATTTGTTCTTGATTGAAGCACAAATATAAATTCCAACACCAATTAGTCAAAGTCTGATTTCAGTTTTAAATATAAAACAACTATCGACATTGTTTTGTAAATCACAAGACAAAAGACAAATTGATTTAACAGTTAGTGAAGGCTGATGTTCTTTGAAAAAGCAGAAAACTCTCAACGTGCACTTCAGTGCGTAGAAGCTGCAGCTGCATGTGGTGCACGGCCGCCATCTAGCGGTCAAAGTATTAGCTGCATCACAGCTGTGCTGCTTGACTCCTTAGAGAATCCCAGTAAAGTAACTAAGGACTTAAGTACAATTTCGAGGTACTTGTACTTACATTTTGTGATATTTCAGTAGCAAACACTGTGCTTTTTACTGCACTACAAGTACTTAATAACTTAAATTACTCTTCAGCATCAGGTGAACAAAACAAAATACAGTATTCACTAAAACTGTACTGTGCACATTTATCAAATGACAAAAGAAATTCAGATGCCAGCGCTGGTCATTCAGTGTCTGCTCCTTCCTGACTCTCAGTGACCACCACTGCCAGATGATGCACCACCCGAACAACGAAGTAATGAAGCCATCTGATGATTCTTTTGTTTTGTTACACCTTTGTGATCAGTGCTGCCCTTTTCTTGGGTGACTTTTAGGGAAACAAACACACTACAGGCATTTAATAGTCTGTTTAAGAACTTAGCAGGGGGCACAGTGTGTGACTGTCATTCTGACAGTTTTAGAAGGACTTATTTTGTCACTTTGCTCAGAGGTTTAGTTGCAAAAATTATTTGCACTTAATACTTAGCCTGAATTAAACGCACATTTCAGCAGTCTAATTACTGTGTGTGTGTGTGTGTGCAGGATCAGTCTGATCCAGAGCACCGCTCATAAAAAACACTGACAACAGTACCGAACCTGTCCCTCAGGTACATCTCCAGTTTTTCCAGTGGCATCTGTCTCACGTCATATCCCCTGTATTTCTTTTTAGCCGTCTCACTGACAGGCACAATCTCCTGGGTGCTGTTGCGGTCGTTGCGGCCGACAGCAGCGTACGTCGGAAAGGCATCCTTCAGCTCTTCTGGCAGACTGCTGTTGTAGACTGGGCAGCAGTAGGCCGACCAGATGTACTCAGGAACAGCCACGCGGTGATTCTTGAGCCAGCGCTCAGCGGTCTGGTACGGGATGATGCCAGTCACTATGTAAGCATCTCCGAGACAGTAGGCTGCTAAGGTTTGATTGACAGTCTGCTCCAGGGCCTCCCAGGGCCCGTCATTAGAGCCTACCTTCTGAGGCACTGCGTTAGTGAGGGTGAAGGTGGCGGTGCGGTCCTCGTGGCTCTGGTGGTGAAGGCTGGGATTCAGGTGGCCACGAGTGTAGGTGGAATTGATGTAGTCCAGCTCGACCGCCTGGCTGTCTACCACGTTCTGGTCCACGGGGCCCGGAGGGAAGCAGATCATGTTGCCATCAGCCCCTGGGTAGGCTAACTGTGGATGGGAGTGAGAAAGAAACCGGAGATGTTTTAAAGCCTTATCTTCCTTTATGTTATTAAAAGCAACAGCGATAAAAAGGGGAGACTGGGGATGGCAACAACTGGTTGAGGATGAGACACATGATCATTTCAGTATTTAGCCACATCCCCTCCAATCCACCATGGTGCCTGGCAAGGTTGGAAATAGATACATGCAGATTCCGTAGAGGAAAAGTGATTTTGAGGTAATAAAGTAACTTTTTGACAATATTTTGTTCATTACTTATACTATTGCAAAAAATCATATGACACATTTGATTAAATTCTAGTTTCTCAGGCAAAACGCATTTTCCTCCTGCTAATTTCAAACCACTATGCTAATACAGCTAGTTAAACAACAGCTGACAGGGTGGGTAACAACAGCAACCACCCCCTTACATACAACTAAGGACACTTTCTTGATTTTGATAATTTTACAGAATGCCTGTAAAGACTGACAGAGGTGTGCCTGCCAATGGTTTTTAAAAAGCCAAAAGAAGTGTGGGTAAAAGGTGCACTGTGCAGTCTCAGGGCCAGCCATGCCTGCAACCAACACCCTGTAAGAAACTGTCATTTAGTCAGCAAAACTTTGCTCGAGACAGTTAACAGACCAGAACACTGATGTGCCACTTCTTCTTTACCGCAGTTCACTTCCTCATTTGACCTGCTAACAATTCCTCGCAGCTGCGGGGAACATGGAGCCTGGAGCTGGTGCTAAACTGGAACTGGAGTCAAAATTGATTATTCGTTTGTTGATCTGTTTTCTTGAAGATTAAACATTTGGAAGAGCTGACACGTTTGGGTGTAAACGTGGTGTTTTATAGCAGTTAAAAGAAAGTGATACCAGCGAACGTCATCGGTGCGACGTTCAAATCAAAAGCTGTAAAGTCGTCTCCTTTCTAAATACATGGACGGCTGAAAAAGAAAGCACGTTTCTTTAAAACTCATTTTATGTGTTGTCAGCCATGAATGTTCCAGACCACCAGGCCACACGGCCCGTTCCAAACAGTCTCACCTGTGGCTCAAACTTCCATGATGCTGAGGGTCTTTTTCCTTCGGGTGGGGAGTACAGGTAGGCTGAGAACCACGGAGAGCGGCGTGCTCGACTGTACAGCGTGGCAAAGCGATACTGGTTGTAGTACCGCTGGCAGATCGGGGTCCCCGACAGACCCTTAGGAGGCCAAGACCTGTAGAAGAACTGCAGACACGGGGCGAAATCCCCCACGTCCGCTGCACACGGGCACCACCCTCCAGCCATGAGTAGGACGAGCACGACCAGAGCGCAGACAGGCGACATCCTGATAACTTCACTAAGGCTCTCGGTGAAATACACTGGAGCGCGATCGAGAACGGTCCCCTTTCACACGAAGTGACGCAGTTTCAGCTGTTTGTTACAGGCAGGAAGTCCGCTGTTCCGCTTCAGTAAGCGGCACTTAAAACCAGTGGGATGAACAACACGCTGCCAGTTTGATGATCCAGCAGAGAGGTGGCGATGTGTCAGCTCCGTCTCCATCCCTGCTGAGGTCGGCTGTGCACTGCGTGTCCTGTACTTTGGGTTTCTCCGTCACAAACTGGTGTCAAAGCCAGAGTCATGCTTGCTGGTTATTTGATTAGAGAGAGACGAAAGGAACCCGCAGACAGCGCTCCCCCGTTTCATGACCATTTCTTTGTTTTGGTACAAAGCGCAGCTCGCACGGGTACCGCGGCCAAATGAGACCCCAGTCGAACTTTGCCCTTCTTTTTGTACATTTACGCTAACGTAATGGACGTCTAAATCTGACTATTTAGGCCATTTATGCAAATTAGTTCTAAAATGGAAGATATCAGATTCTATTATTTGCCATCCTGCTGTGTGTGTATTTAGGGTTCTTGAAAACACCAGTGGACTTATAAAAACAGTGGCATTGTCCTGATAATATGATTCACTGACTACTGCAGTATGAAAACTGAAAACATTTTACTGTGCATGTTTCCTTGAGAGGTTTTCCCAAACTCTCAGTGGATTCCTGTTCAAAGTGACCTTGACCATGATCACACAAAATCCAAATCCACACAAAGTCCAGATATGAGGCCATTGTCAGTTACAGTGTAATTAGTGGGGATTTCCCCTTGAATTTTCTAAAACTGTATAGTGATAATATACTGATGCACACACAGTAGGATTTGACATAGTACAATTTATCTGATAAGTTAAATGCTAGTTTAATTGATATTCAGTTGAGTAAATAGTCACCCAATAATCCATTTGGCCATTTCCAGCCGTACCGTAATTGCACACAAAGAAGCGCAACAAAAGTCGAACGGCGGCTCACTTGACCGGGTTTTTGCAAACCTGACCGTACTCGCACGGTGCACAGGTGGGAGGAAGATGAACAAACAAGGAAGGTTTATTGGTGGAAACCAGCGCCAGGCGATTGGTGCTGTTGTCGTGCTGAATAAGATGAACAAATTGTTCAGGAATGTGAATTAACTACTATAACCAAACACCCCAAGCAACCAATGGCGTCCAGCGATTAACTCCGAATAAAAAAAATCAAACTGATGTTGTTTAAGTAGGGACGCATGTGATTGGTCAGTCTGTAGTGATCTTTAAATGAATATGACTTCATTAAGGTCCAGCAGCCACGTGAAGGCAGCGCCTTACATTACGCACGACCAAGTGCCTTTGACCACATTTAACCATCTGTATGTGACCAGAGCTGTCACACGCACACTGGTCGGTAAGACCTCGGTAGCCTGTCCAAGCTATTTTTCATTAGACAATATATTCCTTTATTTGTTGAGCTGTCACTGCAGCTGGCTCGACCGTTTCACACACACGCACACACATATATACAGTACAGTACTAAAGAGCAGACTCACGTTTATTTGCCACATCACTCAGGCCTGCATGCCCTAGTCTACACTAGCGTGAATAGAGACTATTTAATGTTAAAAATAACACCACATGGGGGCCCCTGACCACCACTGGGCCCTAGGCAGCCACCCATAATGTACAGGGTGGCTACTGTCCCTTCCCCCCCAGTTTTTTTCTTCCTCCCCTTATGTAACATAATAATCGGGTTTGGAGCTGGGACTCTGTTCAGCACAGACGCTGGGCTTCACTTCTTCAGGCAGGGCTCAAGTTTCTCCACTGTTTTGAGGATTTTAAGGTAGGTCGCCACACTTCCCATTTCTCTCACTCAGTAACATGCCTACACTTCTTCTTTCTGAAAAGAAGAAGCTGTTTTGCTGACACTAACCTGTGGAGAACTAAAAACTGACATTTGCCTTCTAGTCATGGTTGGTCAGTAGAAACAAAGGCATGCTGCAGATTCCTCTCCTCTCTTCTGTCAACAGGAAATATGCAGAGAGCAAACCGCACCTAAGGTCAAGTTCCTTCTGTTGTCAGGTCATGAGGTCTCTGCTAAGTGTTTCTTAGCAAGTCCTAAACGCTGATAATGAGATTAGAGACCACAGTAATACCTGGAATTCTTACATGAGTGTGTCCTACTGGACTTTGATCTGTTAAAGCAACAGTTCAGGGTTTTTACAGGACATGCACTCTTGGAGTTCATATTGTAATTTTCCTCTGGCTGTAGAGATATTCAAACCCAGAATTACATTTATTGACAGTGTTGGGCTCCAGTTCTTGTTACCATTGCTAACTCTGAGAAACGAGACAGTCCAAGTAACTTCAAAACAGTGCTGATTTATTCAAAGGATCACAGGTAAAATTAACATTACACGCTCAGGTATCTTGCACCTCCATACTGCTCGCAGGCAGATGTAAGATGAAAAACCCTGAACCCACCAGGCCTATACATTATATCTCCTCGGTTGGGCTAGCCCCATACTACACAGAAACGTCAACCGAGACGTCTCTGTTACCAGCTTTGCAGCTGGCCATAGCAGTAGTCAGAACATGAAGTAAATCAATGTGTGTGTGTGTCTGTTGATTAAGTGGTGTGTAACTAAAAACATTCTCACGACCTCTAGTGACATTAAACATAAGAACATATTATGACTAAGGCTACAGTTATACACATCATAATAATACAACTTTTCTCTCTAGTTATCCTTGACCAGATGTACCCTGTAGAAACTCATAAGCATGCCTAAGCATTTAACAGTCTAACTAGACATCCTGTCTCCACTAAACATTTCTAATACATAAAGTATCTATCCAATTTCTATCTGACTAAAAATACCTAACAACAGCATCTCTTATAAGGGTCCAAGTCATATCTGTAATTAATGAATGGCTCATAAATCAGAATCTACTTTATTGGCCAGGTGTGTCTGACACATGAGGAATTTGACTGTGGTACATCAACTCTCAATGTGTATGTACATATCCCCATGCAAGGGGCAAGTAAACAGTAAACCGACATAAGGCTGTGTAGTATAACAAAATAAGCAGTATTAACAAGCAACAAACAGTGCAAACAATGCAAAATAAGCAGTATAAACAGGCAGTAAACAATGCAGACAGACAAAGGAATGCTCATTGTAATGAGATAAATAGGAATAAAAACAGAGTACTTAAAACTGGAGACGTGTACAAATCTGTATAAAGATTTAATGAAGGAATTATTGCAGTTGTATCGTGAATTCCTGTTACTCACCATTAACAAATAAAAATGTACATTTACTTCATACATTTTTTGATATGCCACCATATTAGCTGCGCTACAGTTACACAAATGTAATTAACTGTGACTGGGCAGTTACACTATAATGGCAGTACTAGTACACGTGAGCTTATTTGATGTGTATCCAAGCATTGATTTTCTTCTTGAAGTGCTGATAGCTCATAAAGTTTTATCACAGAGGACAGGAAAGCCACAGAGGATCAGGTTTCTTCAGCGTTTCTTCATTTCCTTTATGCAGACAAAGAAAAGTCTGTGCTCGTGTTTCTTGAGGGAATTAAACTGAGCCAGACTGATTGATTGTTGCCAGGTTGTCCTTCCCACACAGCTGAAGACATTTGCATAAATCAGACCCTTCTCAAATTTCTCATGTCTTTTGAGTGGTCGAGCAATGGTGGGTGGTGTTCGCAGCTTGTTGCCTGCATGGTTTGAAGTTTGTCCCAGCTGTTGTGTTTGTCTGTTTCTCAGTGAGGCGGCAGTTTGTGTTTTTGTCATATCATTAATGTTAGCTAACATTACTGAATGCCAAATGCTGCTCATTAGTGCAACAGGTCAAGTGGGTAAGCCAGCTTTAGAAGACCAGATATCTTTGGGCAGGGGGGCTAATAAGGAGGATTCAGTCATTAGACAGACGCAGGTAGTTGAATAAGTTTTGCATTAAAACACAATTCAATCATTGTTTTTTGTTCAGTGATGAAATTGTTAGGTATTTTTAGTCAGATAGAAATTGGATAGATACTTTATGTATTAGAAATGTTTAGTGGAGATAGGATGTCTAGTTAGACTGTTAAATGCTTAGTCATGCTTATGAGTTTCTACAGGGTACATCTGGTCAAGGATAACTAGAGAGAAAAGTTGATGACTGTCAGCAGACAGGGTGTTTAATATTATTATTATGACGTGTATAACTGTAGCCTTAGCCATAATATGTTCTTATGTTTAAGTCACGACATGTTACTAGAAGTCATGAGAATGTTTTTAGCTACACACCACTTAATCAACAGACACACACACGCACATTGATTTGCTTCATGTTTTGACTACCACTATGGCCAGCTGCAAAGCTGGTAACAGAGACGTCTCGGTTGACGTTTCTGTGTAGTATGGGGCTAGCCCAACCGAGGAGATATAATGTATAGGCCTGGTGGGTTCAGGGTTTTTCATCTTACATCTGCCTGCGAGAAGTATGGAGGTGCAAGATACCTGAGCGTGTAATGTTAATTTTACCTGTGATCCTTTGAATAAATCAGCACTGTTTTGAAGTTACTTGGACTGTCTCATCTCTCAGAGTTAGCAATGGTAAGAAGAACCAAAGTCTAACAAAATCAATAATACATGTTCATTTTGGATGCATGCCAGTGCTTGTTGAGTTGAGCTGTGTTTGCCAGCTGCTGATAACAAAGATAATTAGTTATGAGATAATTAGCACATCAGGTTTGACAGGAAGACCCGTCCTAAGTGGTTATTGCTCCAAAAGTGTACTTGCTCACATTTAACTTGGATGTTGGTTTCTTTCCTCAGCTTTTCCATGGGGAGCATCCCAGGACTTTCTCTTCTGCTTCTGCTGGTGAGCGTGTCCCTCCTGACGGGCCCCAATGTTCAGGGGACAACTCTTTGTGTCCCCGGTGGATGAAAGCCACTGGGTCAACATGAACCTGCTGATCCAGAGCCTTCATGCCAGTGGCCATGAGGTCACCGTGGTCCGCACAGCCACTAGCTGGTACATCAAAGAAAACACACCACATTACGACTCGATCACGGTCACCCTGCCAGAAGCCATTAACATAGAGAAGCAGGACTTCTTTGTAACCTTCCTGGTCAAGATGCTGGAGATCCAAAAACAGGGGACGTCTCCAATCACCTTTTTGAATTTCTACTGGGAAATGCTACCAACACTGTCAAAAATTCACGCACAGTCTTGCCTGTTGGGGGTGGAAATATTTGAGAACAAGACTCTAATGCAGAGTATTCGGGATACTCACTTTGACGTGGTTCTTGTAGACCCGGGACTGCCTGTAGGAGTTCTGGTGGCCCATGAACTTAGGCTGCCCACTGTTTTTAATGTGAAATGGATCACCAGTGGAGAAGCGCACTTTGTGGTAGCTCCATCTCCAACATCCTATGTTCCAACTTCTGGATATGCTGCATCGGATAAGATGACCTTTTGGCAAAGAGTCAAGAACTTATTGCACTACACCCTCAACACATGCATAGACAAGTTTATAGTATGCCCTCACTATGACAGACTGGTGGACAGGTACTTTGGTCCAGATGTAAACTTCTATCACCTCCTACAAGGGGCTGACATCTGGCTCATGAGGGTGGACTTTGTCTTTGAATTCCCCAGGCCCACCATGCCAAATGTCGTGTACATCGGGGGCTTTCAGTGTAAGCAGTCTAAGCCTTTATCTTCTGAGCTGGAGGAATTTGTTCAAAGCTCAGGAGAGCACGGTGTCATCCTGATGTCTCTGGGTACACTGGTCAAAGCCCTGCCTGTAGAAATCACTTCAGAAATCGCTTCTGCCTTCGCCCAGATTCCTCAGAAGGTGATATGGAGGCATGCAGGTGAGCGACCCAACAATCTGGGCAACAACACCCTACTGGTGAACTGGATGCCTCAGAATGACCTCCTGGGTCACCCGAAGATCCGAGCCTTTGTGTCTCACGGTGGTACTAATGGGATCTACGAGTCCATCTATCACGGAGTGCCAGTCATAGGCATACCACTGATGTTTGACCAGTTTGAGAATGTTTTGAGGTTGGAAGTGCGAGGAGCTGCTAAGGTGGTGGAGGCAACCAAACTCACCCAGCAGAATTTTCTGGAGGCAGTACAAGAGGTTCTTCACAATCCTTCTTACAGAAACAACATGAAGCGTCTCTCTGCCCTCCACCGGGACAAGCCACTGCATCCTCTGGACACAGCAGTTTACTGGATTGAGTTTGTTATGAGGCACAAAGGAGCTTCACATTTACGCACGGAGTCTTATAAGATGCGCTGGTATGCCTATTATTCTGTGGATGTTGTCTGCTTATTGTTGGCAGTCCTGTTGCTGCTGACAGCCACTGTAGTAGGATCAATACGATTTGTGTGCCTCCGACTGTGCGGGAGAAGAAAACCCAAGCAGGAGTAGGTCGACTCCTAACGTCAAGTCAAGTCATATCCAAGGATAAAGCTGGTGAATGTCACCAGCTTTATCTGATGATTTAACTGATGCATCCTACACCCAGAAGAAAAACTCTTGATATCTGATATTTTCAAATGATGAATCTGTGATTTTAATTTGGAAAAAGTCTGATTTCTTTTTCAAAGCGGAACTATGTGCCTGTGTTTACTTTAAATAATGTAACAGCATTTAAAAATGTTTCTTTTGCATTATTACTTCTTTAAAAATTATGTGAATTTTCTAACTCAGTCAATTGTGATATGCAACTCTGAAATAATATAAGTTGCTGAAAAACAATCGTGTCTTATTTTGTGGCTATGTACGAGTGTGTGTGTGTGTGTGTTCAGCATGCATGCAACATTATTACTTTTGCCTAATTTGAACCAGTAGGTGGCACTGTGTCCTTTATTAGGTATACCCATATAATCTTTTGTAGTGCAAGTTTATACAAGAGCTCACTAAAATGTACCTTCACAAAAATAATAATGCTCAGTTTTGATTGACACTATCAGAGAGGTGCTATAGGAACTATTACTGCAGTGATTAAACATACTCAGCCCAGTTTACAAACATGCAGGTGGAATATGATCCGAAACACATTTTAATATAATACAGTCCAGCACAACACCACAATGTTAATTGTGATCTAAAACAAAAAAGTGGCCATTGATTCAGTTCTCTTAGTACTTGTGAGAAATCATAATGCTAAAGCATAAAATAATATTGTAAACCAAAGTTTAGACTAATGTTCTTATGGCTGTATGGAAGCTAATCCATGCAGCTGGCTCAGCATCTGAGAGTGGAGGCTGTTACAGAAGCAGATCAGTGTGGTGAGATATTCAACAATCCCATATGGATGCTATGTTGTGTCTGCATACTTTTGGCCATTGTTGCAGTCGGTTCTTTTTACCATGCTAACTCTGAGAGACGAGCCAGTCCAAGTAACTTCAAAACTATGCTGATTTATTCAATGAACACAGGTAAAAATTAACATTACACGCTCAGGTATCTTGCACCTCCAACATGCACGCAGGCAGCTGAAAGATGAAAAACCCCGAACCCAACAGGCCTATACATTATATTGCCTCGGGCTAATCCCATGCTAACAGGAGACGCCAAGCCGCAGCGTCTCCCAGGGTCAGCTTTGCAGCTGGCCAGAGCAGTAGTCAAAACATGAGGAAAATCAATGTGTGAATGTCTGTTGATTACGTGGTGTGTAACTAAAAACATTCTAACACAACCTCTAGTGACATGTCATAACATTAAACATAAGAAAATATTATGGCTATGGCTACAAGTATACACATCATAATAATAATAATATTAAGCATCCTGTCTGCTGACAGTCATCCACTTTTTCCATCTAGTTATCCTTGACCATAAGCATCCTGCAGTAACTCATGAAAATGACTAAGCTAGACACCCTGTCTATTCTAAAACATTTCTAATACATAAAGTATCTAACCAATATCTATCTGACTAAAAATACCTAACACCATGTAGTGTATGGACATCTTCATAATCTCATTGGGCCCATATTTAAAATAAAGCCAGAGCAGCACAATGATTGGATTTTGTGAACTGAAGCGAGTACACAGTGCGGCTTTCGGTGTGGTTTAATACAAAACTGAACCAGTTTATTCGTTCATGCTTACCTTTAAATCATGGGGATATTATATATCCTCTCTGCATTAAGTGGCAGTTTAAATATATCATGTTATCAGTTCTTTAATGGTAATGACAGGTTATCTGGGCATTATTGGCCTGTTCTGGTGCAACTATCTTTGAAGGGAACTTGATGGTCAGATGTGTGTCACTGTAGGCTACTTGTCTGGTAAATTACATCTTGCCACACGCAGAATTTAAAAGAGGAGGGTTGACCAGGCGTGTGGCATTGGGTGGTGTAAGTGTGAAGAAGGAAGTTAACTTTTATTTGACCTGGCTGAAGCAGTATCTGTGTGCGTGTGTTCCTGGCTCGCTGCAGTGCATACAGAGGAAGGGTGTTAGTGAGACTCTGCTAATGACCCACCCTCTTCTTATCTTAAACATCTTTTCAGCAGG